TTCCCTGATTGTCTTATAAGTTTAAAAAATTTTTTATTTATTTGAATGAAAATACAAAAAAGGTCCACAAGTTGCATTTGGTTTACATGTCTTGAGTTTCTTTTAAGCTATAGGTTTTCTTCTCGCTTCTTTTGTCTTGAAATAGATTTGCTTAAAAAAACAGGTTGTCTTTCCAGTTGAGTCTGCCACAGTCTCTGGCTTTGCTTATTGTACTCCATGGTGTTCTGCAGGCCTCTGTAGTTCCTAAAACTTGGTTATTAGATTTAGATGCTTGATCTGATTCAGGTTTGAGTTTTTGGCAGAAGAGTGTCATAGGCGGTGTTCAGTCTTCCTTTGGGACGCATGTCATCTTCAGTTATTTCTCTTCTTGTGCTGTCAGTGGCTACTGAAAGTCATAGCCTGTATTTTATTTAATTTGAGATTTGCCAAATGATGATATTCTATTATTCTTTGAGTATGCATGTGTGCAGAGGGAGTGAGAGAAGGAGTGAAATTTCCCTCATTAAGTATTTGGTATCCTAAGATACAGCTCACACAAGAAAGTCAGGTTCAATGCTTGATTCTTTTCAGAATAATTGGTTGGTTTATTAACATCCTTTAAAGATGATCAATGTGTTTATTTAAATAATATGAATGTATCAATATTTAAAAATTGATACATTCATATTGTTATGAATGTATCCATTTTAAATGTACTTAATATGTTTCACTCCATTGTATTAATCCTCCAATTATCCTATCTTTGGCCACTTGGAGCTGTTTCAAGTTGATTTTTGTGTCTTAGAAATAAGCTTTTTAATTGCTTCTGGGAAAAAAGCATAGAAACCTTTTTTAGAACTTTTGTTCATAGAACAGTGGTAGCCAAACTTTTTTGATAGGGAACTCTCATCAGAAAATATTTTTACACCTGAATATCCCTTACATATTTATAAACTGTATATATTTATGTACAGGAACTGTGATTAAATATGCTATGTATGTGATAAAACACCCCCACATAGAAATTTTAGGCCGAGTGTGGTCGTTCACGCCTGTAATCCCAGCACTTTGGGAGGCTGAGGCGTGTGGATCACGAGGTCAGGAGATCGAGACCATCCTGGTAAACATGGTGAAACCCTGTCTCTACCAAAATACAAAAAATTAGCTGGGTGTGGTGGCACATGCCTGTACTCCCACTTCTCAGGAGGCTAAGGCAGGGGAATTGCTTGAACCCAGGAGGTGGACGTTGTAGTGAGCCGAGATAGTGCTACTGCACTCCAGCCTGGTGACAGAGCGAGACTCTGTCTCAAAAAATAAATAAATAAATAAATAAATAAATAAATAAATGATGAAATAAACAATGTTTTAGAAATGGTAGCCATATAGGAGGTCATTGGCTACAGCTCTCTCAACCAACACAAGAGAAGGGGGCAGAATCTCAGCAATGGGAGAGAGCCCCTCTTCAGCTCTGCCTGGTAAGGAGCCAGGCATCATAGAAGGGCCCAGTCTTTTAGCCTCCAGCACTGGGGGGGCCTGGAGCGCACTCAGCCCAGTTTCCTGCCAAGAGTTTGGCATGAGCACAGCAGAGATTCCTAAAGTGTCTTGGCCCCAGACCAGGTCCTTTCAACATCCAACAATCTGGTGAGCAGGCCCAAGTCGGGTAATGATTGTTTAGGAGAGGAGGCACACACATTGGCCTCGTAGGTGGGGAAACAGAATCATACGTCTTCTTCTCTGAGAAGAAAACATTTGAAGTTAGAAAAGTGCCTCTTTTAAAGAAGGGAATCAGCTTTAATTTAGAAGAATTGATAAAGTGCTTTTTCATCTACGCTGATAAACTAAGCTAAAGGATAAACATGTTTATGACTTGGGGACTAAACAAAGGAACTAAGTAATCTGGTTGAGACAAACTCTCAAAGAGGCCAAGGCAGGTGGATCACAAGGTCAAGAGATCGAGACCATCTTGGCCAACACGGTGAAACCCTGTCTCTACTAAATATACAAAAATTAGCTGGGCGTGGTAGTGCATGCCTATAGTCCCAGCTACTCCAGAGGCTGAGGCAGGAGAATTATTTGAACCCAGGAGGTGGAGGTTGCAGTGAGCCAAGATCGCACCATTGCACTACAGCCTGGGCAACAGAATGAGACTCTGTCTCAAAAAAACAAAAACAAAAAAATCCAAGTAAAGATTTTGCTCCATCACAAGTGGCAGATTTCCTCTGTGGTGTTTTATGACTTTCAGTTTAAAACATGAGGAAAATTGTCAAATTATTCTGATATCCATCTAAATTGCAGTTTTGTGTTTGCCAATAACTCTGAAATATGTTTAGAAAATTATGAAACATCAGAAAGGCTGGCGTGAGACACAATGGTAGTTTATGCAAGAAACGTGTCATTATCTCTTTAATGTACCCAAACATAAAAATCAACTCTGATGTTTCCAATGAAAAGGTCTTTTGTTCCTGAAAACAATAAAAAGTCAGAATAGCATTTGGCTTTTGAACTTGTGATCACAATTCTCTGCTTCTCTTTTGTAAATGTTTAAAAAACAAATTTGAATGAAACAAAAATTTCTCTTCCGACAATTTCTAAGTATAAACTTATATGCAAACCTTCATCATTTCAATTTGCAGTTGTAGTAAAGAAAGTCAAGAGCCAGAGGAAACTTAGTGGATAATCTTTAAGAGAAAGTAGAACATTCTAAATGGGTAATCATCTGAAATTTTACCCTCCAGTAGTCATTTATTTGAGTTAAGCATTATTGACCTTATAAGAATGAAAATAGGCCTGGGAAGCAAAGCATCTTGTTGATGACATTTTGTGTGCATCAGTAGTGTTTCCCCCATGATTGGAGGGACCCAGGCAGGGACACTTTGCAACTTTTGGGTGACAGCCTCTTCAAATGATGAGAAATAATCTCACCTACTGATTTACTTCCTATGCTAGCATTTAAACCCTATTTTTGTGATGCCAATTACCTTTTACTCAGTACAAAATTTGAGCCAGGCGCTGTGGCATGTGCCTATAGTCACAGCTACTCAGAAGGCTGAGGTTGGAGGATCCCTTGAGTCCAGGAGTTCAAGTCCACCCTGCACAACATACCAAGACTCTGCCTGTCTCTAAAAAACAAATAATAAATAAATAAATAATGGGACCAATGTTAGGATCTATAGTAGAGATTTATTCCAAAAGTTTAGTTCTCAAGATTGGAAACAAAGGGCCCAAGCTGAAACCTAAAGAGCCTTTATGTTACCACAGTCATCCTCACCTGAAAGGAAGGCCAGATGGATCTTCAGTCATGTGACGCTGACATATTACTGCTACTGCTTCACGTATACAACCCCTTGGAATTCTAAATGATCGTTCTGCAAACACTCAGCATCTCCAATGTTTCCAAAAAAGGAGACAAATAAATTACATGATTACGGAAAATCTCCCAGTTCCCTTGATTTCCCAACTGGAGGAGGTTCTTAGAGGCCCCGGTGTTGGAAAGATCACCATGTTCCCTCTGTTATGCCAACAAGTAAAAATGGTTCCAAACTATAAAACACTTGTAGAGAGTCCAGCAAACAATTTACCTTTTCTGCGATGACTACTTCTGTTATTTTTTTTAATATAAAATATCAAATGTTTTAAAAAGAGGTCTGTGTGTGTGTACGTCTCCTTTGCTGATCAGAACGTGCCAAGTCTTCCACTTGGCCAACCCAATCTCATATTTTCATCACAAAAGGCAACTTGCCAAAGAAAGTTGGCTCATCGCCAGGATTTCAGTCCCTTGGGAGTAAGCTTATCAGTTAATAAATTCATTTTATTGGGCATTTGCTTTATGCCCAGTACTGTGTTAAGTAAAACAGGGAACTCTAAGACTTATAAGTATGCAGGTGGTCATTTCATTCAAAGAACTTCTAATGTGGTAGAGAGAAAGATGAGTTCTGTGAAAAAGGACGCAACCATCAGACGTCAGTTGGGCTATGTGGATCTGGATGAGTATCTGGGGATACTTTGGAAAGAAGGCAAATTTGCGTTGGCTTTTTAAAATTTGTATTTTATTTTATTTTATATTTGAGTATATACTCAAAGTTACAAGAACTTCACATGGTTCAAAATTCTAAGATCTTCCTCCTTTTCTTTCCTTCAACTCCAACTTCTGTCCTCAAAGGCAATCAGTGTTACTGCTTTCTTGTATATTTTTTAGAGGTATTTTATGCCTATATAAATAAATGTGAGTACATATAACCTACCCATTTACAGATACAAAAGGTATTCTCTGTCTTTAAAGATAGGAAAGAAATTAGTGACCTCTCTGAGACTTATTTTATAAAGACACTAATCCCATTAATGAAGGCAAAGACCCTATTTTCAAATACCATTGCCTTAGGAGTTAGGATTTCAACATATGAACGATGGAGGGATATAGGCATTCAGTCCATTGTAATTACTCAGTTGGGGAATTTTTTCTTTTAATTGCTTTTTTGAGTCAGATATTTACTTGTGAAACTACATTGTTTATATTTTGCTTAAGTTGGGGAGGAGAAAGCGCTTGGGGTGTGTGTGTGTGTGTGTGTGTGTGTGTGTTTACAGTGTGTGCGCATGTGCACACTGGTGTGGGGCATGTGGAGAGGTGGCAGTCAGTGTCAGGATTTTCTCGATTCAAAGCCATTGCTATTTACCTTATACCAGTGATTCTTAAACTTTTTGATCTCAGCATCCATTTTTGCTCTTAAAATATACTGAGTGACAACAAACAAACAAACAAAACCCTTTGTTTAAACAGGTATGTTGGCCGGGTAGAGTGACTCATACCTGTAGCCCCAGCACTGAGGGAGGCCAAGGCAAGTGGATCACTTGAGCTCAGGAGTTCAAGAGCAGCCTGGGCAACATGGTGAGACTCCATCTCTATAAAAAATCAAAAACATTAGCTGGTCATGGTGGTGTGTGCCTGTAGTCCTAGCTACTTGGGAGGCTGAGGTGGGAGGATTGCTTGAGCCCAAGGGGTTGAGGCTGCAGTGATCATGCCATTGCACACCAGCCTGGGTGACAAAGTGAGACCCTGTTTCAAAAAAGAAAGGTATGTCTATCAATATCTACTACATTAGAAATTAAAACAAATTTTAAAAATATCAACTCATAATAAACCCATTATATATTGACATAAGTAACATTTTTAATAAAAAATAACTACTTAAAAATTAGTGAGAAAAGTGGCATTGCTTTCCATTTTTGCTAATCTCTGTAAGGTCTAGCTTATAAAATAGGTGATTCCTGTTACCTACGTCTTCATCCAATCTGTTGTGACACTGTTACCAAAACACCAGGAATTCATTCTAAGTCCTGCTGCTCACCACACAGAAACCCAATTGCTGCACAATTATTATTGAAAGAAGACTTTAACTGGGTCCTGTAGCAGAGATGGGAGCTCAGTCTCAAATCGGTCTCCCTAATCCACTAAAACCAGAGGTTTATACAGCAGGGAAGAAATGTAACTACCTGTATATGCAGGAGAACAGGAATTAGGGAGAGTTAAGGAAGAGGAGTTGGTCAGCAGGAAGCAGGTGGTTGGTTAGGCGAGCATTGTTTAGATGCAGTGATCTGGTAAGTTTCAGTTCCTTGCTATTATCTGCCAGGCCCAATGGTTGGTTTCCTGAGAAAGGAAAGCAGATAAGACAAATGTAACTTTCTCAATTTTTAAGACTGGAAGAGGATCAATTTCTGTCATTCAAAGAAACCATAAACATCAGTTCTATGGGACAATTGGAGTGGTTTCAACATCACATGTCATGTAGCCTCTGGAAAACTCCACCATAAAGTCATGATTTAATCAGAATAAATAAGGCACGTAATATCTTAGTATTGTTACGAAAATTGTTTTCCATTCCAGGACCTCAGTGAAAGCGTTTTTGCCTGCCAGCCTTTCTTCTCTGAGAGACACATGTATCCTCTGTCTTGTAGGACCACACTGAAGTCACACATTCAGCTAAAAATCTATCCTGTTTTAAACAAGTACCATTGAAAGACAGTCAACAACTTTCCCAGCTAGTTTATAAAATATTTACCAGGTGAAGTAACTAAAGCCTCAGAAATATTAAACTGAAAAAAATGGATATGTGCCAAAGATTACAAGGATCATTGTATGTTTAATTAATATTTGTTTCCCAAGCCTTAAAGAATGTATCAATCATAGATTTAAAAAATCTTTATTAAGACACAGACTACTCTGAAAATCAACTCACAAAATAAAACACTTAGAATTGCTTTAGCAATAAATGAAACAGTCCCCTCACCACATTTTTTCTTGAATGGCAACGGTTTCCACTGTTTTCCTGGACAAAAACAGTCATTAAAGGCCTTTTCAGGGCAGAACACGGTCTTCCCTCATGCTCAAAACCACTGGATTAATTTAATGTAATTAAGTAGCAGAAACTCACTATTGTGTGTAAATGATACTGCTTTTAGCCAGAATTTGGGAGTTGGTGGTGATTGCACTGCCAGAAAATTCTAGCTTCATTTAATGTACAAATTACATAAATCCTGGTTAGGAAAAAAAAAGTCAGTAGGTTTTGATTGCGCTTTGGTTCTTGAGGTTAACTGCATATTTTCCCAATGAGGAAAAAAAATATATATATATATATATATATATATGAAAAGACAGAGCAAAATCTCTCCTTTCTCACACTCCAGGAGTTATTTTGTATTCTTTCTGTTTCCATTCAATCATGATTAATTTCATCCCATTAATTTAGTGCAGAAGATATATGTGACTAATATGCACAGAACTAGAATTAGCCTTTTCTTCACTCAGTAATTAACCCTGAAACAAAGGGTAAGTGCTTTAATGAAGAAAGTAAAATGAAAAGAAAAGAAAAAGTTTAAACAGTTTTCTTTGGGGAGAAATGTCTTCATTTGGGCTTGAAGACTTGTTTATTTGGGGACAGGGAAGAATGAAACAGAAGGAGGAAAAGCTAGTGCAGGAAATGTGTTAGAAAGGGGGTCACTCCTAATGGGCAGTGGTGTTTCACGTTCTCTGGGGGCCCCATGAGGAAATGTGTGAAAAGCCCGCACAACTGTCAGCCCAAAGTACAGAAGAGGAGAGCATGTATCTGCTGCACAACCCCCAAGTTTCCCAATCGTCAGGGTCTGGCCTAGGGATGCTAACTGCCTGGCACCTCCGGGCCAGCACTCAGAGTCAAACGTCTGGGCAGCTCCCTTGAGCCTCCCTCCAGGTGGCAGCAGAGCAGCTCAGGCAGGGAGGAGCTGTCCTGGGTTCAGCTGAGCCTGCTGCTGGGTTACACCTGAGCAAAGCTGGTTGTTTCAGTTGGTCATCTCATCCCATATGCCGCAGAGCAAAAGGTGGGCTTTGAGAATGTGAGAAGGGACACGAAAGACAGCTGACATGCAGTAGGATTCTAATATTAATCCAAATGCTGGACTTCTGGAAGAGGTAGAATTTCTGGAATCCCTGGTAGCATTATTGTAATGGAATGTAGGTTCAGATGCTCCCTGCTTGCAGTCCAGTGAACAACAGTAAGGTCTGGCAGGCCAGTCGCAGTGGCTCACGCCTGTAATCCCAGTGCTCTGGGAGGCCAAGGTGAGCAGAACATTTGAGCTCAGGAGTTCAAGACCAGCCTGGGCAACATAGCGAAATCCCATCTCTACAAAAAATACAAAAATTAGGCAGGGTGCGGTGGCTCGTACCTGTAATCCCAGCACTTTGTGAGGCTGAAGCAGGCAAATCATGAGGACAAGAGTTAGAGACCAGCCTGGCCAACATAGTGAAACTGTCTCTACTAAAAATACAAAAAATTAGTCGGGCATGGTAGTGGGCACCTGTAATCCAAGCTTCTGGGGAGGCTGAGACAGAAGAAATGCTTGAATCCAGGAGGCAGAGGTTGCAGTGAGCTGAGATCGTGCCATTGCACTCCAGCCTGAGCAACAGTGCGAGACTCTATCTCAAAAACAAAACAAAACAAAAACAAAAAACCAAAAACAACAACAACAAAAAATTAGCCGGGTGTGGTGGCACGTCAGTAGTGTCAGTGACTTGGGAGGCTGAGGTGAGAGCATTACTTGAGCCAGGAAGGTGGACATTGGGTGAAGTGAGCTGAGATCACGCTACTGCATACACTCCAGCCTGGGTGACGGAGGGAGAACTTGTCTCAAAAAAAAAGAGGGTAAGGTCTGATAGAAAGAAAGTGATTTTTACTAACCAAGATTAGTCAAGGGGAAGTGGCTGGATTCCTATCCAAAACAACCACTTCAATTTTGTGGTGTGGGGTGGGGAGGCAGGGGTTTAAAACAGGAAAACTTGCTGAGGAAGGCATGCAACAATGGTGCTGAGTACCGTGTCTGTGTGTCTGGTTCTGGCGGCTGTCTTGGGTCCCAGTCCGACTGGATCTCGGGCTGGTCTCATCTCAACAATGGCTGTGTTGTTGACTAGCCACCTTGAAGTCATCTCTGGAACTTTATACCTGGGTCTCCAGTGCCTTAGTCTGTCTGTCTGTCTCAAGATGAGCCCCTGGAATTTCCAAGAAAGAACACAATTAGATACTGGCACACAGTCAGATAAATGTGAACGGAGTATATATGGCGAGAAAGGGAGGGAAGTGGAATCTATTTTAAGGCTAAGGGGAAAGGCTTCTGCAGCTTGCTTCAAGGTTATATACTAAAACCCAAGAGAAAGGAAAAAAAAAGTTTTAAAATGCATTTTGAATTTAAGCCGCCTGGTTACATTATGACCTGGGGAAAGCCTGAAGTCAGGAGTGAGATGACCTGACGAAGACACAGGGAAGGCCGCTGCTGGTGAGTGCTCTGTTCTCAGCATCTCTCCCCTGCCGCTCTGGGGCATCCTCCTCCCAGCTGCTGGTGGCAGATGCTCTCGCACCATGATCCGTGTTGCACTCTTGTTCCTCCCTGATCTTCTCCCAGGCTCAGGAGGGCCATCCAGCTTCCAAAACCCAAGTCCTACCACCCCGAAGCCAGCTCACCTCCCGCAGCCCCACAGACCTTGACTCTGTAACTGGCTGTGTGAAGCTTTCTCATTTCTGAAATTCTTGTATCACCTGACCCTGTATTTAAATTGATACTGTGTTTAAAAATACATAGCCATGAATTTAAGCAATATTTAAGGGATTAACATCTTGTTTCCTCAGCTGGGGAGTTAGTTCCTCGAGGACAAGGGCCTTGAGTTCTATTTCTTTACGCCTATTAATACCTGGTAAAGGCATTACAGGTCACAGATGTTCATAAGTGTGTGACTGATGGGGAGGCAGGCCCATTCTGCAAAGCTCCAGGAACAACTCTATTTTAAGGCAAATGACGGAGAGCCACAGCAAACCATGGTCCACATGTAACAAAGGGACTAAATCTGCTTATCCTGTGATGGGGAAGAGGCTACCTGGAGTGAGAAATGGAATTTAACAATTTAACCTCTTACAAATGTTTCACGAATCATCCTGTGTGCAGCCCTACCCACCCTTCTCCTTCCTTCAGAGTTACCTTGTGCTGTCAATCACTGCGACTCCTGGGATTCTGACATTTGAAAAGTTTGTTCTCCCAACCCATGCAGGCACTTAACTTTAAAGTCAGTTAAACTCATCCTCTTGCTCGCTAGTTTTCAAAGTTGTGTTGACATCTAGTTCTCCTTATCCTTACAGATTTACAATAAAAAAAAAAAAAAATCTCCTGTTAATTAAATGGGGTTTCAGAGAAGTGGAGATAAACACATATTTACCTCTGCCATCCTTTTAGTAGAACTTCCACATCATTCTTTTAATAAATTCTTTTTCTGCTTAAATTAACTAAAAATAGCAGAATTAACTAAAGTGCTAGAATATATCTACAATAATGCCTCTTTAAGATAAGAGTTCTCAATAAGGCTGAACTAAGCTCATCAGACATACTGCATGCCACCAGAATGCCTTAGAACTAAGTGACTGAAGCTTTCTTTTTTCAGTTTCCTAGGATTTTAATTTTATGCTTCTTAAAAATCTATTTAGTTGGGAGGCCGAGGTGGGTGGATCACCAGATCAAGAGATCAAGACCATCCTAGCCAACATGGTGAAACCCCATCTCTACTAAAAATGTAAAAATTAGCTGAGTATGGTGGCATGCACGTGTAGTCTCAGCTACTCAGGAGGCTGAGGCAGGAGAATTGCTTGAACCCATGAGGCACAGGTTGCAGTGAGCTGAGATCGTACCACTGCACTCCAGCCCAGCAACAGAGTGAGACTCCATTAAAAAGTAAAAAACAAACAAACAAAAACTATATATATATATATAAATTTAGGCATGGATTTTCTAAAATCATGTCACACTTGTGGATATATAAGAAGGAAAATAAAAGTAGAAATTGATTAAGGTAGTCTTAAAACTTTATATTTGGAGTTCTAATCCTCTGAATCATTTTTTTTTTTTTTTGAGGTGGAGTATTACTCTGTAGCCCAAGCTGGCATGCAGTGGCACGATCTTGGCTCACTGCAACCTCCACCTCCTGGGCTCAAGAGAGTCTCATGCTTCAGTCTCCCTAGTAGCTGGGACTACAGGTGTGCACCACCATGCCCAGTTAATTTTTTTGTATTTTAGTAGAGATGGAGTTTATCATGTTACCCAGGGTGGTCTTGAACTCCTGAGCTCAGGAGATCTGCCCGCCTCGCCCTCCCAAAGTACTGGGATTACAGCCGTGGTGAGCCACCGCGCCCAGCCTGAATCACTTTTTAAAAATACACTTAAAAATATTTTAATTGCGGTAAAAAGCACATAACACAAAATTAACCATCTTAACCGTTTTTAAGTATACAGTTTAGTAGTGTTAAATATATTCACATTGTTGTACAACAGATTCACAAAGTTGTGCAAAGATGAACATTTTCATCTTGCAAAACTGGAACTCTGCACCCATCAAATGACTCCCTCCTTCCCCTCCCCCCAGCCCTGGCAACCACAATTCTTACTGTTTCCATGAATTTGACTACTTTAGATACCTCATAGAAGAGGTATCATGCAGGATTTATCTTATTGTGACTGGCTTGTTTTACTTGGCATAATGTCCTCAAGATTCATTCGTGTTGTAACATGCAACAGAATTTTCTTTCTTTTTTTAATGAAGTAAGTCTGTGGAGAAAGAAAAATGCGTCTCCCTTTGACAAACAACATTGAAAATATGATTCACTCTGAAATATTACATCAAAAAATCAAAGACTGGTTGGGTGCGGTGACTCACATCTGTAATCCCAGCACTTTGGGAGGCTGAGGTGGGCGGACCAACTGAGGTCAGGAGTTTGAGACCAGCCTGGCCAACATGGTGAAACCCTGTTGCTATTAAAAATACAAAAATTAGCCAGGTGTGGTGGTGGACGCCTATAATCCCAGCTATTTAGGAGAGGCTGAGTCAGAGAATCACTTGAACCCGGGAAGCAGAGGTTGCAGTAAGCTGAGATTTCGCCACTGAATTCCAGCCTGGACGGCAACAGAGCAAAATTCCATCTTAAAAAAAAAAAAGAAAAAGAAAGAAAAGTAAAGAAAAGAAAAAAATGAAAGACCTAAAAGTATTTCTCAAAAAATTTTTAATTGAATTAAACCCAAACCCAAAGATTGAAAAGAAAGGAAAAGTATTCCTTTCTTTTGCAAAAGTAAACAAATAAAAACGCTTACATGCAAGAGAAATGACACATCAAACATGTATTACTCGGGGCTTCATGGCAAACAACCTTACCTATTAAGAATAGTAAATATGGGGAGAGAGATCCAAGATGGCTGATCACTAGCAGCTCGGGATTGTAGCTCCCAGTGAAAACGCAAAGAATGAGAGGACGCCACACCTTCACATGATTTCTTGTTGCTCACGCACCAGGAGATTCCCAGCAGAGGAGCCCCACGGGTCGCCAGTGCGACTCTTGTGACCGGTGAGGCGGTTTTGCCGGCGCCTCGGAGCGTGGGTTCTTGGTGCAGAGTCAGAAAAGCACCATCAATCTTAACGCCGCCGATTTAGTCGGCGCAGTGGGTTGCTCAGCTTTTGGCGCTGAGAATCAGTAAGTTGGACGTCCACTCAGAAACCCAATTACAAAGACGGTAATTATAAAGACCACAGATGGATAAATCTACAACGAAGGGAAGAAAACAGTCAAAAAAGGCTGAGAATACCCAAGATCAGAACGCCTCTCCCTCAGCAAGGGATCCCAGTTCCTCATCAGCAACAAAACAAGGCTTGATGGAGAACGAGTGTGTTCCAATTACAGAAGCAGGCTTCAAACTGTGGATAATAAGAAACTTCTGTGAATTAAAAGAACTTGTTCTAACACAATCTAAAGAAACTAAGAACTTTGAAAAAAGGTTTGACGAAATGTCAACAAGAATACAAAATTGAGAGAGGAAAATAAGTGAATTGATGGAGCTGAAAAACACAATACAAGAACTACGTGAAGTATGCACAAGTTTTAACAGCCGAATTGATCAAGCAGAAGGAAAGGGTATCAGAGGTCGAAGACCAACTCAATGAAATAAAACTAGAAGACAAGATTAGAGAAAAAAGGATAAAAAGGAACGAGCAAAGTCTCCAAGAAATATGGGACTATGTGAAAAGACCTAATCTACGCTTGATAGGTGTACCTGAATGTGATGAAGAGAATGAATCCAAGCTGGAAAATACGCTTCAGGATATTATTCAGGAAAATTTTCCCAACTTAGTAAGGCAGGATAATATTCAACTCCAGGTAATACAGAGAACACCACAAAGATATTTCTCAAGAAGAGCAACTCCAAGGCACATAATCGTCAGATTCACCAGGGTTGAAATGAAGGAGAAAATACTAAGGGCAGCCAGAGAGAAAGGTCAGGTTACTCACAAAGGGAAGCCTATCAGACTTACAGCAGATCTCTCAGCAGAAACCCTACAAGCCAGAAGAGAGTGGGGACCAATATTCAACATCCTTAAAGAAAAGAACTTTCAACCAAGAATTTCACATCCAGCCAAACTAAGCTTCATACGTGAAGGAAAAATAAAGTTTTTTTGTGAACAAGCAAGCACTCAGAGAATTAGTCACCACCAGGCCTGCTTTACAAGAGCTTCTGAAAGAACCACTACACATAGAAAGGAACAAACAGTAACAGCCTTTCTAAAAAATACCAAAAAGTAAAGAACATCAATATAACGAAGAATTTACATCAACTAATGGGCAAAATAGCCAGCTAATATTAAATGGCAGTATTAAACTTACATATATCATTATTAATTCTAAATTTAAATTGACTAAATTCCCCAATTCAAAGACAGACAGGCAATTTGGACAAAAAACCAAAACCCATCAGTATGCCGCATCCAGACCCATCTCACATTCAAGGATACACAAAGACTCAAAACAAGGGATGGAGAAAGATTTACCAACCAACCAGAGAGCAAAAATAAATAAATAAAAAGCAGAAGTTACAATTTTTGCCTCTGATAAAATAGTCTTTAAGGCAACAAAGATCAAAAGAAGCAAAGAAGGACATTATATAATGATAAAAGAATCAACGCAACAACAAGAAGAGTTAAAGATCCTAAATATATACACACCCAATACAGGAATACCCAGACATACAAGACTTATAAAGAGACTTAGACTCCCACACAATAATAGTGGGAGACTTCAACATTAATATTAGACAGATCAATGAGACAGAAAACTAACAACGATGTCCAGGACTTGAACTCAGATCTGGAACAAGTAAATGTAATTAACATTTATAGAACTCTCCACTTTACACAAAATATACACTCTTATCAGTAGCACATCATATCAACTTAAAAGTTTAAACGAAATGTTGGTTGGCTCCTTGTTTGTTATTCTCTTCCCTCATTTTCTTTTATGTCTCCATTATTAAGGACAATTATAGGCATACCCATATTTAGACTGCATTCTAGCCCGGGCAACAAAGCAATACCCCCATCCTCTCTCCCTCTTCCTCTTTCTCTTTCTTCCTCTTCTTTATTCTTTTTCTTATTCTTTTTTCTTTCTAAAAATAAAAAATAAATAAAAAAAAAGAATAGTAAATATGGAAAATATCTGCTTAATTAATATTGATGAGTTGAATTGAAATATCAGTTATTTCTTTTTCCTAAGGGCCTTTTTTCTTTGTTTGAGACGGAAGTTTGCTCTTGTTGCCCAGGCTGGAGTGCAGTGGCGAGATCTTAGCTCACCTCAACCTCCGCCTACTGGGTTCAAGTGATTCTCCTGCTTCAGCCTCCTGAGTGGCTGGGATTACAGGTGCCCGCCACCATGCCCGGCTAATTTTGTATTTTTAGTAGAGATGGGATTTCTCCATGTTGGTCAGGTTGGTCTGAAACTCCCAACCTCAGGTGATCCGCCCACCTCGGCCTCCCAAAGTGCTGGGATTACAGGAGTGAGCCACCGCGCCTGGCCTCCTCAGAGCTCCTAAGTGAATGCTTTTGGTTCTGGGTGAATGAACAAGCCCTTAGTTTTTAGCTGCTGTAGTGTGGTTGTTGTGTTGTGATCTGCAAATTTTCCCAAATTCCTTTTCCAGGGATTACCTTTATAAAGTCCAGTGCAGGGATAAGGAGGAAGCGGAAGGTTTATTGAAGCCAAGATTTTAAAACTTGAATAGGTATGGGAAGCCTGAAGCTTATTAAAGTTTTTACATGTATAGGAATTTCCCGGATATATTCTGAGGAAAAAATTATTATTCTTTTAAGTATGAGCATGGTAACCTAGTACCTAACTATATACAATATATGAAGAAATGTGCAGATGCTTCCCCCTTTTTAATTCAAAAGTCTTCCCTCCTTGGGCATGGTCCTTTCTTGTTTCCTTGTTAGCCTCCTGGTTGCTTTTTTTTTTTTTTTTTTTTTTTTTGAGACAGAGTTTCGCTCTTGTTACCTGGGCTGGAGTGCAATGGCGCGATCTCAGCTCACCGCAACCTCCGCCTCCTGGGTTCAGGCAATTCTCCTGCCTCAGCCTCCTGAGTAGCTGGGACTACAGGCGCGCGACACCATGCCCAGCTAATTTTTGTATTTTTAGTAGAGACGGGGTTTCACCATGTTGACCAGGATGGTCTTGATCTCTTGACTTCGTGATCCACCCGCCTCAGCCTCCCAAAGTGCTGGGATTATAGGTATGAGCCACCGTGCCTGCCTTTTTTTTCTTTTCTTTTTCTTTCTTTTTTTTTTTTTTTTTTTTTTTGCGACAGAGTCTTGCTCTGTCGCCCAGGCCGGAGTGCGGTGGCTTGATCTTGACTCACTACAACTTTTGCCTCCCGGGTTCAAGCAATTCCCCTGCCTCAGCCTCCTGAGTAGCCAGGCATGCATTGCCATGGCCTGCTAATTTTTTCTTATTTTAGTAGAGACAGGGTTTCACTATGTTGGCCAGGATGGTCTCGATATCCTGACCTTGTGATCTGCCCACCTCAGCCTCCCAAAGCTCCGGGTTCGTCGCCTCTTCTTGCATCCTCTTCTGTTCCTTGGTTCCTGTGTTTCTTGCCATCCTGGCTTCCCTGTTCCTTAGTGTACTGATCTTTGCAGAGAACCAGCTGGGCCTCAGAAGCTGGGTGGGGTTTCACCTAGGTAAATTACCACATCCTGGAGCACCCTCCAGCAGTGTTTTCTCAGGACTTGGGGAGTTGGAGTCAGTGCATTTGCAGGAAGGATAAAAAAGTAAAACCATTTTCTGAGCTTGCTCCCCAGAGAATAGCCCTGTCTAAATCTCCAAATGGTGAAATTGGCTGAAAATGACCATGGAGGTAAGTCTTGGGTGGGGGGCCTGAAGAGCAGCAAACTGAGAAAGACCTGGGGTGATGGTGGAATCAGGGTGGGGCAGCCAGGGCTGCAGGTTTGGATTTATGAGTTAGCCTCTCTTTCCTTCTTCTTTTCCACTTAACCCCCAAGACTAGTCAGCTGTGCTGCCATGGCATTGGGCAATTCTAGTTCCACTGCTTTCTGCTCCTGGATAAACTAGGGCTGGGCCCTACTCTAATATGGAAGGAAAGTTTTAAAAGAAACATGGAATGCCCAGCTGTGACTTCCAAAGCAGTGCTCCAAATGCATGGAACATTCCATCCTCCAGGAGTGGAGGTGCGCTCTGTAAGGTCAATTTTTAGGATTCCCTGTGTAAAATGTTTCTTGGACTGTTCTGGAACATAATATTACAGAAAGAGCTATTTTATAGAGAGGAAACCATGAACACTGTAATTTCAAGAATACCTCAGTTGGGCTCAGTGGTTCACGCCTTTATTCCCAACACTTTGGGAGGTCGAGGTGATCGAGGTAAGTGTAATTTGAGACCAGCTTGGCCAGTATGGTGAAAACCCATCTCTACCTTAAAACAAAACCAAACCAGACCCAAAGACCTCTATGTATTCCTTTAGTTTAAATCACTAACCCTCCCATAAAATATAAGCAAATCTCAGGAGCCATAATAGATTGACCTTTATGGGTCCTTTTTGGCTTCAAATCATACCAGACCCCACCGGTAACCTCCACACCCCCTGGCCCACATTCCCACCTCCAGGGCTATGCTCTTCCAGGCCTTCCTGCCTGGGAGCTTTTGAGCTTGCTCTTCTGCCTGGGATGCTCTTGACTCTCTTAAAAAGCTAACTCTCAGTTCTCCAAAACCCAGGCAATGTCACTCACTGTTCCAAGTCTGTTTTCCAAGGCATGCTTAGTTTACCTGAGGGTTCCCTGACCACCCCCCATCTCTTGGCTCTCGTCCCCATCAATCAATGGCATACAGGTCCATCTTCCCACCAGGTTAAGATCCCATCAAAGACAAGAGCTGTGTCTTATTCATCATTGAGTCTTTTGCATTTTAACATAACTGGCCCACAGTAGATTCTTTAAAATTATTTATAGAATGAATGAATTCTTCACTGCCAACATGTTTCAGTGGGGTGGTGGTGCAGGGTTGGGGTAGAGAAAGTATGAAAATGCAAAGAGAAAAAGGAGCCGGTATGCAAAGGAAGGAGGTGGGGGTCACTAGAAGGTGGAGGTTGCTGAAGGCAAACTCCTCTGGGGATAGCTTTGCAAATGGCTAGCCCCTTTTAAAGGCATGCTAAATTTTCAAGTAACTCTAATTGACAGCTGTAATCTAAGATGTGTTGACACACTGGATGTACTTGCCAAAGTCATGTTTAATGGTTTATATCTCACACAATGAATTGGGGCAAAGTTAAAAACTCATATGGCTTTGGATGTGTATCTGTTACCATCTGTTGGTTCCTGGATCCTGGGTTACATCATTTTTATTTTTATGTTAAACATTACCAGCAATAAAAAACAGATAGAGGGCCGGGCGCAGTGGCTCACGCCTTTATCCCAGCACTTTGGGAGGCCAAGGCGGGCGGATCCCGAGGTCAGGAGATCGACACCATCCTGGCCAATGTGGTGAAACCCCGTCTCTACTGAAAGTACAAAAATTAGCTGGGCGTGGTGGTGCGCACCTGTAGTCCCAGCTACTCGGGAGGCTGAGGCAGGAGAATTGCTTGAACCTGGGAGGCGGAGGTTGCAGTGAGCCGAGATTGCTCTGCTGCACTCCAGCCTGGCGCCTGGTGAGAGCGTGAGACTCTGCCTGAAAAAAAAAAAAAAGATAGAGAAAGGTAGAGGGGCAGGGGGTGGGGGCACTCACATAGGGGAGGATATTTTGATTGAATGCAGGCTTGACAGAATCTTATTTTCTTCTTCGAAATCCTAGAAAACGGAAAACAGGAAGATGTCTTATTGGAAAATACCCCCATCAATTTCACCATGAGTCAAACAAGGAAGAACAATTCCTCAGAAGGAGGAACTAAGCCCCAGACTTCATTTGTCAACAAATTTCTCAGGGACTCCACAGCTCAAAGCAGAGAGGGGAAAAATGACCTTCAAACAACCGATTCCCAACCGGGTGACTGGATACAGAAGACAGCCACCTCAGACACTGGTAAGCTGCTGGCTGCTGGTTTTTTGCTGTTGTGTTTGTTTTGTTTTGTTTTGTTTTTACTTTCAGATTTAAAACATTTTTATTTTTAATTTTTCTGGGTGCATTGTTGGTACCTATGTTTATGGGGTACATGAGCTGTTTCAATACAGGCATGCAATGCATAATAATCACATTGTGGAGAATGGGGTATCCATCCCCTCGAGCATTTATCGTTTGTGTTACAAACAATTCGATTATACTTTTAGTTATTTTTATTTATTTATTTATTTGAGACAGAGTTGCACTCTTGTTGCCTAGGCAGGAATGCAATGAGTTTGCTGTGAGTGTCCCAGCTCATAGCAACCTCTGCTTCCCAGATTCAAGTGATTCTCCTGGCTCAGCCTCCCAGGTAGCTGGGATTACAGGCCTGCACCACCACGCCCAACTGATTTTTGTATTTTTAGTAGAGACGGGGTTTCACCGTGTTGGCCAGGCTGGTCTTGAACTCCTGACCTCAGGTGATCCTCCTGCCTTGGCCTCCAAAAGTGCTGGGATTAAGGTGTGAGCCACCACACCCAGCCTCTTTTAGTTATTTTTAAATGTAGAATATTTGCACATTAGAAATAACTAAAAGAGCATAATTGGATTGTTTGTAACACAAAGAATAAATATAGTCACCCTGTTGTGCTATCAAATGGTAGGTCTTATATATTCTAACTATTCTTTCTGCACCTGTTAACCATCCCCACCTGCCCCACAACACACACACACCCTTCCCAGACTCTGTATTTCTTTATTTTTCAGAGTTTTCCTCTAATGTGATCTTATGGGTTAAACTGAAGACTTTAAGACTTTTGAGACTAAAGATTCTAACTCTGAGTTTCTGTGCTAAGCATTTATTATGTTGCTTAAATGCTTTAAATGATTCATAATTTTACTTTTAAATGATTCATAATTTTACTTTTTTTTTTTTTTTTGAGACGGAGTTTCGCCCTTGTTACCCAGGCTGGAGTGCAATGGCACGATCTCGGCTCACCGCAACCTCCGTCTCCTGGGTTCAGGCAATTCTCCTGCCTCAACCTCCTGAGCAGCTGGGATTACAGACACGCGCCACCATGCCCAGCTAATTTTTTGTATTTTTTAGTAGAGACGGGGTTTCACTATGTTGACTGGGATGATCTCGATCTCTTGACCTCGTGATCCACCCGCCTTGGCCTCCCAAAGTGCTGGGATTACAGGCTTGAGCCACCGCGCCCGGCCCATAATTTTACTTTTAAATGACTAAAAGCAATGTAACACTACAGAAAGGTTCAGGGAAAATACCTAATTTTCTTTCATTATAACACAAATAATCATTTAAGATTCTTTTCAGTCTTTTCTTCATGTGTACGAATTTATGTTCTGTCAGTCAGCAGTCAACAAATATTTATTGAGTGTTTACTATGTGGTAAACACCTGCTCTAAGTGTCAGAAATACAGCCATGAAAAAAACCAAATGCAGATATAACTTCAGGTGGTGATAAGTGCTATGAAGAAAAATAATGCAGGCTAAGGAGACAAAGAATGATGGGATAGAGATGGGGGTGGAGGAAAGAAGTCTTCAATTTGGAGGCATTTGAGCAGCAATCTGAATAAAATCAGCTTTGTGGAATGAATGAATGAATGAATAAAGCCAGCCACTTAGGTATTTGTGGAAATAGCTTCAGGCCAAGGGACTGCACATGCAAAGACCCCAGATAGGACTGAGCCTAGAGTGAGAGCGAGCCAGGAAGTCAGGGGTACTGAAGCAGGATGGGAGATGTGGAGAGGAAGTGGGTAGTGGAAGACAAGTCAGAGAGGTCACTGGGGCCAGATTGGCATCTTTTGCACAGCTGTAATAGCTTACAGATCCCTCCTGAGTGTATGGAGCTGTGATCCTACTTCTGGAACATATTATTATATTGCTCAATTCCCACATTGCTGCATGATGTTCAGATGTATAATTTTCATGGTTGCATAATATTCCATTACATTCATATGTCTTTATTACTCAATGAGTTCCTTGAAGAGAATGTCTATATTCTCTGTATATTATATATGACTGACTTATTGTCACTGAAGTGTGCAGCCGTACACTGCATGCCTCCACTTCTCATCTACATGGGAACTGTGGCTTTCTTGCTGTCTCTTTCACTAGACAGGCAGCTCTTTGAAAACAGTAACTCGTTATCTTGGTTCCCGGTACAGTACCACGCGTTACCAATGTGTAATAATGTCTAATGAGTATCAGGTGTTTTGGTTGACAAACCTTGACAGGTTTCAGTTGGAAAGGAACTTGGTGAGAAGGCAATAAGAGCCAAGAGCTTTGTTCAGAGCTAACCCAGCTAGAAAAAGGCCTGAATCTCCACAGAGCTGCTCCTGTGTGGTTACTATTGCACCTCCACCCCCCCATGCCTCCCACCCGACTCCAGCCTAGCGGCAGCAGCCGACCCACCTGCTCTACATATTGAGCTGTGACATAAGGTATCTTGCGAAGAGAAGGTTTCATAGATTTTTTTTTTTTTTGAGACAGAGTCTTGCCCTGTTACCCAGGCTGGAGTACAGTGGTGCAATCTTGGCTCACTGCAACCTCTGCCTCCCGGTTCAAGAGATTCTCATGCCTCAGCCTCCCTAGTAGCTGGGACTACAGGCATCCACCACTACGCTTGGCTAATTTGGTTTCATAGTTGTTTTTTTTTTAATGGAGTCTTGCTCTGTCGCCAGGATGGAGTGCAGTGGCACAATCTCAGCTCACTGCAACCTCTACCTCTCACTGCAACCTCCACCTCCCGGGTTCAAGTGATTCTCCTGCTTCAGCCTCCTGAGTAGCTGGGATTATAGGTGCACACCAGCATGCCCTGGTAATTTTTGTATTTTTAATAGAGACGGGGTTTTGTTGGCCAGGCTGGTTTCGAACTCCTGACCTCAGGTGAACCTACCTGACTCAGCCTCCCAACGTGCTGAGATTACAGGCATGAGCCACCATGCCCGGCCAGGGTTTCATAGATAAAAAATATTGAAATATGTGGTCTGTGAAATGTCCAGGGCTCTCATAAGTTAGTACTCATATTTATATGTTTTGATAAAGATTTATCATGATTTATTTTGGTAATTGAGGAACTATAAAACCAATATTTATTCATTCAATTATTTGCTCATTGAACAAATATTTACCAAGTACCTCTCAGGTAAAAGGTCCTGCAGATTCCATGTCCATGGGAGGGTTCAGTAAGTTTAAATCATGATGCTCTTGAGAAATGAACCAGGCATTTCACAGGTGAGTAAACCAAGGCTCAGAGAGGTTAAATGACTTGTTGCTCAGACAGACGGGTGACTTGAACCAGGTCTTCTGACTGTGCTGCCTACTTGTCAGTTACATCAAACATGACAGAGCACCCAGTGGGATGTGGACTGAGGAGAGATTTCCACATCTGTCTGTTTGTAGTTTATTGTTGGTGACCTTTGAGAAACTGTCTGGACAGAGGAGTGTAGCAACCAGACAGTAGAGGAAAGGATTGGGCCTGCAAGTGCAAACCACTCTTTCCAAACATTTAACAGTTAAGGAAATGCTTGACGGAGCAGTGTCTTGAGGAGATAACAGAAGAGTTTGGCGTGTTTGGAATTTGGACACGATCGTAGGTTGAGATAAAAAGCTTAAAAACAAGGGCCGGGCACTGTTGCTCACGCCTGTGATCCCAGCATTTTGGGAGGCTGAGGCGGGTGGATCACGAGGTCAAGAGATGGAGACCATCCTGGCCAACATGGTGAAACCCTGTCTCTACTAAAAAATACAAAAATTAGCTGGGCATGGTGGTGCATACCTGTAGTCCCCAGCTACTCGGGAGGCTGAGGGAGGAGAATTGCTTGAACCCAGGAGGTGGAGATTGCAGTGAGCTGAGATTGCGCCACTGCACTCCAGCCTGGCACCTGGAGACAGAGGAGACTCTGTCTCAAAAAAAGGAAAACAAAAACAAAAGGGAGACCTCAATAAGATGCAATGCAGAGAAATCTTTTTAAATACAGAAATAAAACACATACACCATGGGCTTTGGAACAACTATTCCGGGTTCAAATTCAGGCTCTGCTTCTTCCTAATTAATAATTTCTCAAAGTCTCCAAATCTATGAAATTGTTTGCGACTCCTTTAAACAAAATGTCTTGTACTTTGCCAGCACCTGAACGGCAGTCCTTCCTGTCTCCCATCCACAACTCTGCTCTGCTCAACCCAGAATTAGGGTTGCCAGAGAAAATACATGCAGTAGTTGAGACATACTATAAAACGATTCCTTGTTGATTTGAAATTTGAGGCTGAGCACGGTGGCTCATGCCTATAATCCCAGCACTTTGGGAGGCCGAGGTGGGCAAATCACCTGAGTTCAGGAGTTCAAGAGCAGCCTGGCCAACATGGTGAATCCCATCTCTACTTAAAATAAATAAATAAAAAGTAAATTAGCCAGACATGGGGGCGGGCGCCTGTAATCTGAGCTACTTGGGAGGCTGAGGCAGAGGAATCACTTGAACCTGAGAGGCAGAGGTAGCAGTGAGCTGAGAACTCACCATTACACTCCAGCCTGGACGACAGAGACTCCATCTCGGAAAAAAAAAAGAAATTTAAATTTAACTGGGCATTCTGTTGTTTTTCCTAAATCTGGCAACTGTGCCCAAAATTAAATACCTTGTGTCCAACGTGCCGTAAAAATGGAAGGGGAGAGTGGAAAGGTTAAATGGTGGATACTGCTGCCTCCTACTGGTGAAATGTGGTAATAACACCAATCATTCCAACAAAGACTAGTATCCTACAAGTGGTTTTCTTAGAACAAACAGAAAGCCAAAGACTGCTGTGGATTAGAGGTATAGTTTTTATTATCCTGCTAATCATTTGGTCTAAATGTGTTACTATTGCAATCCTACTATCTTTTAATTTTCACTGGTACCAATGTATTTCTTCTTAGCTATGTGGTCTTACACCTTTTTGTCAGGGTTAATATTACTGCACAGTCCAGAACTTATGATTTTTTCTTGGATTTCAGTATACATAGCTATATCTTTAAAGTTGTATATTTCACTTACAAAACCGCTTTAAAATGACTGAGTACCTGTATATTCATTTTTCCTTATAAAAGTATGATTATTTCATGTGTGTCTTAAATGCTGGCACCCGGCAAGGCATGGTGGCTCATGCCTGTAATCCCAGCACTTTGGGAGGCCAAGGAAGATGGATCACCTGAGATAGGAGTTCGAGACCAGCCTGGCCAACATGGAAACCCCGTCTCTACTAAAAACATAAAAATTAGCTGTGCGTGGTGGCGGGTGCCTATAGTCCTAGCTCCTCGGGAGGCTGAGGCAGGAGAATAACTTGAACCTGGGAGGCAGAGGTTGCAGTGAGCTGAGGTTGCAGTGAGCTGAGACTGCACTCCAACCTGGGTGACAGAGCAAGAATCCATCTCAAAAAAAAAAAAAAGAAAGAAAAGAAAAAAATGATGGCACCTGCAAGTAGTCGAAGAATGAGTACATAGTAGATGCTTAATAAAATGATAGTTTTTATGATTATAGTGCTATCATGTTATTATAGTGTTATTACAGAGGAAGCTGGTGAGGGTGCCACAGTAACAAGAAGGACAAACAAGGCTTTCCAAATGCACTTTCTGGTAGGAGTTGAGAAAGAGCAAAAGCTCTCCAAGGCCTGCTTTCTCTGGATTTGTGTTTGCCAATTAAATGGTCTAGGAACTGACCAGCAAGAGTTCCACTCTGTGGAGCCATTTGAAGCTCATTGATGGTGATTTTGATGTTTTCCCTTCTTCACCTGCTTGGTTTTAGGAGGCAGGTGTCTCTGATTCCTCCCTAGCAGTTGCATCCACCAAAGCTATGTGTGCCCTTCGAGTAAGCAAGCATCTCAAAAGCTGGGCTGGGAGGTTTGCTTCTCACCCAGGAATGCAGCTCTGTCTGTCTTCATGCTGAGAAGCCCAGGTCAGGTCATAATAGAAAAGCCACTGAGTTCCTTGGCTCCTTGAAGCAGTGTCTGGGCACCTGGTGGCAGGAACAGTGGCTAGTTAAGCTTTGTCCCCAGTAAATGGCTCTGCCTCTGAGTTGAAGTTTTTCTAACAGGCCAGTTCAGAGTTGTGCAGTCTTTTCACTTGTTTGATTGTGCTCACTATGCATCTTTCATACATCCATCAACGGCAAATTATTTTTTATGCTTATCACACAGCTAAGCCTCTCAGTTCAGAAATGGAACTGAGATCCGGTATGGAGGAAAATGAGCAGTTCCTGCAGAAGCTGGGCAAAAAGGCTGTCGACAAGTGTCTAGATCTGAATAACTGTGGATTAACAACGGCAGACGTGAAAGAAATGGGTTTGTATGCCATAGACCTTGCATACAGGAAGAGGGGGCCTTCCCATTGAGATGAGCAGGTAAAACAGGCTCAGCTACCCACCTGGTAACCCCAAGTCTGCTGAGTGGTCCCAGAGAATTGCAGGAGTAGCATTACTTAAAAAACAAACAAACAAACAGATTAATCGATCTTTCCTTAAGTTTTGAAGACTTGAGCTGAGTTTAGGAAAAAAGGCTGTATGAAATCTTGGTGACACACCCCTGCATTTTCAGACTGCAGTTGTCTGGTAGAAATAGAAAACATCCCAAGAAATAGAAAATGTAACATTACAATTTTTCCAGTTGTACAGGCTCCCTGCTCTGCCAAAAGTCAGCCTGCTCGCCCCTGTCCATTCCCTTACAGTACAAAACTATGTCCTGTGCACGTAGGCATTGCATTTTATTTACTACAAATCACAGGCCACATGCCCACATCTGTATTTTCTTCTGTTCACTTCTAGTTGCCTTGCTGCCTTTTCTCCAGGACTTGGAAGAACTGGATATCTCCTGGAATGATTTTGTAGGTGGAACCCTCCATTCCATCACTCAGCAAATGCATCTGGTCAGCAAATTAAAAATCCTAAGGCTGGGTAGCTGCAGACTTACCACTGATGACGTTCGAGCACTGGGTATGATGAATGTGTTTCTTTATTTTATTTTATTTATCTTTTGAGACAGAGTCTGGCTCTGTTGCCCAGGCTGGAATGCAGTGGTGCAGTCTCGGCTCACTGCAGCCTCCTCCTCCCAGGTCAAGCGATTCTCCTACCTTAGCCTCCTGAGTAGCTGGGATTACTGCACCCAGTTCATTTTTGTATTTTTAGTAGAGACAGGGTTTCATCATGTTGGCCAGGCTGATCTCCTGACCTCCTGATCTGCTCACCTTGGCCTCCCAAAGTGCTGGGATTACAGGTGTGAGCCACCGTGCCGGGCCTCATGGAGCTGAAATGGAGGTTATTGTAAAACATGCTCACACTGGGTCTCAGTTACTACATGTGTAAAATAAAGGAGTTACAGTAGACAAGAATTAAGTTCTTTAGAATTCCAAAATAATACTTCTCCCTTCTATTTTCCCACCTCCATTTGAAAAATTAAACAAAACAAGATTTTTAAGTTAATAATTTAACTAGAACTGGAAGCTCCATTAAGTTAGTTTATATATGCAACATAGGATTAAATTTGTACAAAGTCATTCTACTTACCCAACTGTTGTTCCGACATGCTTGCTGGTTTATTCTGTATCTTTGATACTTTTTATTCTTCTTTAGAGCTGAAGTTTCTTATTTTCATGACTTATTTTAATCCTTTACATCTCTTTAAAGATTTCTGTAAAAACACCACATTTTATGCCAGATATCTCCGCTTGTCAGTCCCTCCCTGGAGATGGGGCAGTCAACGTCTCCTGGCCCACACTTCCTGTAGCTGAAAAGAAACATTACCTATCTCAGGTTGGCCAGATCCTACTTCAAATCCTAGTGGTCGCCACCCTTTTATTTTGAGATGGCATTTTGTTCTTGTCGCCCAGGCTGGAGTGCAGTGGTGCAATCTCATCTCACTGCAACCTCTGCCTCCCAGGTTCAAGCAATTCTTCTGCCTCAGCCTCCCAAGTAGCTGGAATTACAGGCATCTACCACCATACCCGGCTAATTCTTGTATTTTAGTGAAGACAGGGTTTTGCCACGTTGGACAGACTGGTTTCAAACTCCTGACTTCAAGTGGTCTGCCCACCTTGGCCTCCCAAAGTGCTAGGATTACAGGCATGAGCCACCACACCCAGCTCCTAGTGCCACTTTTAACTAGCTTTGTGAACGTGAACATGAAATTAACTTTTCTGAGCCTCAGTTTTCTTATATCTGAAATAGGGACAACCTCCCTCTCAAAAAATTATTGCAAGGATTAAACAATTTCTGTAAAGTACGTACTACATGCCTGATGCATAATAGGTGCTCAATAACTGATAGTCCTTCTTTCTCCATCCTCTCATCTAAAACCACCTTTCTGTAGGTTTACATGATCAATTTAGCCCCACAGTAAGTAACTGATTATTGTGTAGCAGACTCACAATTTTAACATACCATTACCCAGGTGTGAAAAGACAACTTTTTTTATTTTCTATGATTCATCTGATCTTTTTCCTGAAGCTCTATCCTTAGAAAACAAAAAAATGGAATTTCCACCCTGGGCCTGTTCCAAATGTACCTGGTCCAGGAGAGAGTCTGTACTGTTGTTCTGATATTTGTGCCCTTTTCCCTCTCTCAGAGTCATTTCTTCTCTGGAAGGACTTCTGCATCCTCTCTCATCAGGAGGGGCTTACTTATCAGCCATACTCTGTCTTCTTCACTCAGCCTTAATGCAGATGGTTATAGGGAAAATAAATGGTTTCTTGATAAGAGAACATAAATCAGAAGGCATTTCAAAATTGTTATACCCATTATAATTGTTTAATACAAGGTGACAAATGTGTGGCACTTCAGTACCATGACCACTGCAGACATAACTAATGAATCATGAGCTCCTTCTCCAAGATCCTGGGGACACCTCAGGGCTATAGAAAGTCACCCCAGTAGACTGGCAATCGCACACAAAATGATACCTCTTTATTGCTGGCTAAAGATGCCATAACTCCTCGAGAATATGCATTTTAGCACGGGCTTGCTAGACTCCTAAAACTGAATCCATGGAATGAATGAGCAATGGTAGAAGTGGCTGGGCATGGTGGCTCATGGCTGTAATCCCAGCACTTTGGGAGGCCGAGGACAGTGGATCACGAGGTCAAGAGATCGAGATCATCCAGGTGAAAGTGCTGAAACCGCATCTCTACTAAAAATATAAAAATTAGCTGGGTATGGTGGCGCATGCCTGTAGTCCCAACTACTTGGGAGGCTGAGGCAAGAGAATTGCTTGAACCCGGGAGGCAGAGGTTGCAGTGAGCCGAGATCGCGCCATCACACTCCAGCCTGGGTAACGAGCGAAACTCCATCTCAACAACAACAATAACAACAACAAAAACGAACCGTTGTGCTGATTCTGAAATGAATTCCCTGCTTTTCCGACTAGTGACTAAGAGAATTTTCCGGCCCTTTTGCTAACAGGAGAAGCTCTTGAGATGATTCCTGAACTTGAGGAGCTAAATTTGTCTTGGAATGGTAAAGTGGGAGGAAATTTGCCTCTGATCCTTCAGAAGTTCCAAAAAGGGAGCAAGATACAAATCCTGGAGCTTGTGGATTGTGCCCTCACGTCAGAAGATGGGGCATTTCTGGGTAAGCGGAATTTGAAGAGTCTATCCCAGAAAAAAAAGCAAAGATGCCAATTGGATAGGTCGGGAATCTAAGTTTGCTGTGTGTTGTCTTATCCTGAATTTAAAGAGCAGCTCACTATATCCACAGGAGACCTGAAACTCCACTCCTCTTCCTACATGCACTTCTTATTTGGATTTCTTGCCTTTTAGGTCAAGTTCTACCTATGCTGCAAAGTCTTGAAGTACTTGATCTTTCCATGAATAGAGACATTGGTGGCAGTCTAAACAGTATTGCTCAGGGATTAAAAAGTACCTCAGATCTGAAAGTACTGAAGTTACATTCATGTGGATTGTCACAAATGAGTGTCAAAATATTGGGTGAGTTAACAATGGCTGAATTTAAGATTACGTCTATAAATATATATGATATATGTGTAAATATACATTTTGAAAAGTTACTAGGAAACATAGCAAAATATAAAGAGTGGTTGTGTTGCGGAATAAGGTTATGGGTAACTGAAATCCCCTTTAGGCTGGGTGTTATAGTTCATGCCTGTATCCCAGCACTTTGGGAGGCAGAGGCAGGGGAATCATTTGAGATCAGGAATTTGAGACCAGCCTGGCCAACATGGTGAAACCCTGTGTCTACTAAAAATACAAAAATTAGCTGGGCATGCTGGCACGTGAGCCTGTAATCCCAGCTACTTGGGAGGCTGTGAAATCATTTGAACTCAGGAGGCAGAGGTTGTAATGAGCCAATGTGGATGACAGAAGAGATTCCATCTCAAAAAAAAAAAAAATCTCCTTTATATTTTATTTATTTTGTAAATATTTTACAGAGAACATATGTTTTCATGATTACAAAAATAAGCTTTTAATATGACTGACTCTGAAAAGGACAGTATATTTTAGGTTGAGATAAATTGTGAAAAATTCTTTGCTGCTAGAACTACTAGGTTTTCTCTTTTGAAAGTGTCAGCATTATATGCTGAGTCGTAGGAAGGAATTGGTACTGATGAGAAAATGGCTTTGATGGCGTCTGCAGTTAAAACTTAGTCCACTGTAGACAGTAGCCATATTAACAGAGAATAGGAAATGACACTGTGTTTTTCCCTTCAATTTATAGAGACTGTAATATTCACTGGCAGCTTGAATAAGTCTAAAAATCTATATAAACTCCAATGCTCAAGTGTAATAAGAGAGGATGCTCAAGTGTAGTTGCAGGATTCATGTCAAAACTCTTAGCAATCTATGCATATCTTAGGGAGTGTGTGTGTGAAATCACGGTCAGGTCCACAGAGGGCCAGAGGGTAGGAAATCTACGCTTATTCGTCCTTTGGTCTTTTGTGAACACAGTGTGCTCTCTCAGCCTCCCTTACTGCACCACTGCCCCTCTCCTGCTCCATACCTTCTTACCACCTTGTAATATGTCAGAATGGGTTTTTTCTTTCCTTTCCTTTTTATTCTTTTTTCTTTCTTTTTCTCCTTTTTTGAGACGGAGTCTCGCTCTGTCGTCAGGCTGGAGTGCTGTGGTGAGATCTCAGCTCACTGCAATCTCCGCCTCCCGGGTTCAAGCGATTCTCCAGCCTCAGCCTCCAGAGTAGCTGGGATCACAGGTGTGTGCCACCCTGTCCAGCTAATTTTTATATTTTTTGTAGAGACAGGCTTTTACCATGTTGGCCAGGATGGTCTCTATCTCTTGACTTCATGATCCACCCATCTCAACCTCCCAAAGTGGTGAGATTACAGGCATGAGCTACTGTGCCCGGCAGAGGTTTTTCTTTTTTTAAGAGATGGGAGGCGCAGTGGCTCATACTTGTAATCCCAGCACATTGGGAGGCTGAGGCAGGCAGATCACAAGGTCAGGAGTTCGAGACCAGTCTGGCCAACATAGTGAAACCTTGTCTCTACTAAAAATATGAAAAATTAGCCGGGTGTGGTAGTGGGCACCTGTAATCCCAGCTACTCAGGAGGCTGAGGCAGAAGAATTGCTTGAACCCACGAGGTGGAGGTTACAGTGAGCCAAGATCGTGACACTGCATTTCAACCCAGGTAATAGTACAAGACTTGTCTCAAAAAAAAAAAAAAAAAAAAAAAGAAAAAAAAAGAAAAGAAAGAAAAAAAAAAAGAGAGAGATGAGATCTCACTATGCTGTCCAGGCTGGTCTCAAATTTCTGGGCTCAAGAAATCCTCCCGCTTTGGCCTCCCAAGCAGCTGGGACTGTAGGTATACTATTGTGTCCAGCTATCAGAATGGGATTCTGACTTTCTTATAGATGCTGCTTTTAGGTACTTGAGTGAGCTGAGGAAATTAGATCTTTCCTGCAATAAGGATCTAGGCGGAGGTTTTGAAGACTCGCTGGCTCAGGTGGTCATGCTAAAGAATCTGGAAGTCCTAGATCTTCACCAGTGCTCACTAACAGAAGATGACGTGATGTCACTGAGTAAGTATATATTGCACAGCAAAGAAAGACTTTTGGAATCTTGGCCTATGTTTGGAAACTTGGAAAATTTTAATATGTACACTTAAATTTACTTTTTATGAAGTGATTGGAAAGATGACTTCATAAAAGTTCTGTGAATGCCCCAACATAGTATTTGGCATGTATTAACTGCCCAGTAAATGTTAGTGAATCTCAGTTTCTCCTATCCATGTCTGCAAATGATAGATTTGGCACTTAGGGAAATTTTTGAATTTATGTTGCTGTTTAGAAATAAATCTCGGCCGGGCGTGGTGGTTCATGCCTGTAATCCCAGCACTTTGGGAGGCCGAGGCGGGCGGATCACGAGGTCTGGAGTTCGAGACCAGCCTGAACAACATAGTGAAACCCCATCTCTACTAAAAATTCAAAAACTAGCTGGGCGTGGTGGCCCGCGCCTGTAATCCCAGCTATTCAGGAGGCTGAGGCAGGAGAATTGTTTGAACCCAGGAGGTGGAAGTTGCCGTTAGCTGAGATTGCGCCACTGCATTCCAGCCTGGGTGACAGAGTGAGACTCTGTCTCAAAATAAATAAATAAATAAATAAATAAATAAATAAATAAATCTTTTAGTGTCACAAAGTTGATTGATTACCAACAGGTTACATATCTGTAACCAAATGCCAACACAAAGCATATTGAGGCTCTCTGAATAACAAGTGATGTCAAGCCACTCAGATACAAGCAAAGTTATAGAAAAAGAGTCAGTGGGGTGGTACATGATGGCTACACATTATAGCTTTAGGAAGCTACCCTTATTTTCCTACTGCAAACACAGTTCTGTAATTACAACATGTAATATAGAAACACAATTTCCCATAACAAACAGAGCAAGCATAGTCTTGAGATTAAGGGTTTTATCCCATCTGTGGCCACAGTAAGCCTTCAATGTACATCCAGAATCTGACCATGGCTCACCATCTAGACCTCTACTACCCTGGTCCAGGTCACAGTTGTCTCATGCTTAGATTATTATAAGAGTCTCCCTGTCCTCTCTCACTCTGACTTCATTCACTCTCCTCCCTTCCCCCTCACTGACTCCACTCCAGTCACTGCCCTTGCTGATTCTCAGACACGCCAGGCCTGCTCTGGCCTTGGGCGCATGCTCTCTCTCCAGGTCATGGGCAATTCCAGGCTAGAGGTGTCTGGTTTAGCATCTCCCCACTGCTGAAGCACAGGCACCCGCACCTGGTGGCACCAAGTAAGTGCATGTTGAATATGTGAATGAATGAATGAGGTCACATTGAGAATAAAAATACGTTTTTGGTTGTTTATAGTACAATTTTGGGAGGAAGACAGCAAAATAGGTTTCTAGGTCTAACGTCTGTCTTTTTAAACCCACTAAAGTATCTCTCAGACTCTTATCTCTCAATTTGGGAAAATGAGAAGAGTTCAAGGCTTTCATGAAGATTTTAAAGTGACAAAATAATCCCTTTTTGAGCTCTGCATGGATCCTTATGGGTTCTTACCATCCCCTTTACTTATCATAGCCCGAGCTTCATACCTAGGAAGACATTCATGAGTTATCGGCCCACCAGATTCCCTTGGTACAGCTAAATAACATGAATACCACATCCCATTTTGTTATTCAGTGCTGGAGGACCTCAATTGTTCCCACTGGTATAACAGAGGACTAAGCTTCCCTTACCTAGGTCTTAGGTTCACAGCCGCCGACATGGGTGAAAGGCCCTGGGAAACTAAGAATTATTCGGTAACTGTAATAAATTGCATTGTTCTCCTTCTGCTTAATTTTGAAAAGATTGAAAGGAAAATACATCCTGCTTTACGCTTTATGATGTTAAATAATTGAACATTGCTTTATCCGATCATTGTAAATTGCTCCAAAGAAATGGAAGTACAGATCCTTTAAGCAGTAGCTGCTGATGAATCCTCTAATGGTGTGGGGCACTGTGCCAGAGGCTGTGGAAAATCCCAGCCATCAGGGAGCTTCGGCATAGCAGGGACAGGAATAAACCAATACATATCCAGACTCCATGGTGAAATACAGAGTGCTGAGAGGGAGAAATAGTCATACCTGTTGACTTGACAAGTGCCCACCTGCCTTCCCTGCCTTTCCCCTTTCTCTTCCCTCACCTCTCTTCCTCCTCCCACAGACATTTGTACCTCTGATGTTCCAGTAGTTCCCCATTCTGGGAGTGAGGTAGTTCCTGTACACACAGAGCTTGCCTTTAGTGAGGGAAGACAGAAAACAAATATATCAACAAGAAAATATCACATCATGGTGGGTGCTGTGATAGTGACCAAGGGGTGACTTTGGTGTGGGTGGGTCTACAAGGCTTCGAGGAGGTAAGCCAGCCTTGGAGAGATCTGGCGTACTGCATTTTCTGCCTTGGTAAGAGCTGGGGCTAAGGCAGGAAAAGCAGCCAAAAGATTGTGAACAAGGGGTAACTCCTAGCCGAGCCCCTCAGGACCATTTACTAGAGTGCTGTTAGCAATAGGTGTCTGTGCTGATTGCTTGTTTTCACTGCCTTACTGGTACTTACATTCTGACAAAAGAATTATAATTTCAAACATTAATCGAGCAGTTAGTATGTGCCAGGCACTATACCAAGCACTTGGTCTTCACCTAGACATTCTACCTTTACAATGACCATGTGAATTAGAGAGGTTCAGAGAGGTTCATTAACTTGTCCAAAATCACACAGTTCTTTAGCAGCAGATCCAAGATCTAGTTCTCTGTCTCCACAGCCTTTGCTTTTCTAGCCTGGAAAGGAGCTTGGAAGTTGGAAAGCCCACACAGCATGCTGGGAAGATGGCTGGATTGGGACGTGTAAGGGAGGGAGGGCGGGACTGGGGAGAGCTGTATTGACTGACAGATGAGACAGACTGTGGGAACCAAACACCCAGAAGACTCTCTGTGAGATGGTGCCTAAAACATGTCACTGTCGATATTTTAACAGCCCAGGTCATTCCTCTACTCTCAAATCTTCAAGAATTGGATTTATCAGCCAACAAAAAGATGGGCAGTTCTTCTGAAAACTTACTCAGCAGGCTCCGATTTTTACCAGCATTGAAGTCATTAGTCATCAACAACTGTGCTTTGGAGAGTGAGACTTTCACAGCTCTCGGTAAGAGATTTACCAGATCCCTGCAGGAACCACGCAATAACGTGAGAAGGAGACCTCTTTTCTCTCTGTGTTTCATTCCGAGGCTCAGTCAAAGTTGTGAAGTACTAATTTGTCTTCTTTTCAGGACATACTTCTTAAAAATGACCTTCTGAAAGTCCACAAAAATGATTCTGGTATAGGCAGCATTTTTGTTGTTGTGTTTTGAGACAGTGTCACCCACGCTGGAGTGCAGTGGTGTGATCTTGGGTCACTGCAACCTCTGCTTCCCAGGTTTAAACGATTCTCCTGCCTCAGCCTCCCCAGTAGTTGGGATTACAGGTGCATGTCACCATGCCCGGCTAATTTTTGTATTTTTAGTAGAGATGGGGTTTCACTATGTTGTCCAGTCGGGTCTCAAACTCCTGACTTTCAGTGATCCACCCTCCTGGGCCTCCCACAGTGCTGGGGTTGTAGGTGTGAGCCACCACCCCTGCCCATGGTATGTGCAGATTTAACGTTTAAAATTTAAAGTGTGTATAACCAACCTGGGTCGTCCAGATCCATGGTAACTTGTGATTTTCCAGAGGTGTCAGTATGAGTTGGGATTGCTGGGGATCTGATGGGAAACTCGGGCATTTACTAGTGTAGGAGGCTAGCTGATTGCCAAACAATCACTCCGCACAGGATTTATGTGCTCTCTCGGGAATCTGGGTATGCCTAAGGTCACAGATATGTCCCAGCCTACATCCGGGACCTACTGAAGCTGAAAGTTCTACCCATTTGGTGACAACTGCAGTGTCAGCAAGTAAAGGCGGGTGGCGTTGGGGACCCTGGCACTGTGTGTACAAACTGCTGGGTGATCTATTTGGAAAAGTGCTACCAAGTCTCTCTGTTTCAAAATATCTCCCTTTACTTGCCAGCACTGCGCTTGTCACCAGATGGGCAGAACGTAACAACTGACATTTATTGAGCATATCCTGTGTGCCAGCCCCCTTTCCAAGAGCTTTACACGCATTACCCAATTTAATTCTTTTTTTTTTTCTTTTTTTGAGACGGAGTTTCGCTCTTGTTACCCAGGCTGGAGTGCAATGGCGCGATCTCGGCTCACTGCAACCTCCGCCTCCTGGGTTCAGGCAATTCTCCTGCTTCAGCCTCCTGAGTAGCTGGGATTACAGGCACGCACCACCATGCCCAGCTGACTTTTTGTATTTTTAGTAGAAACAGGGTTTCACCATGTTGACTAGGATGGTCTCGATCTCTTGACCTCGTGATCCACCTGCCTCGGCCTCCCAAAGTGCTGGGATTACAGGAGTGAGCCACTACGCCCGGCCTCCCAATTTAATTCTTACAACTGCATAAGGCATGCGCCGTTGTTCCACTTTATATTTTGCAGACAAGGAAACTGAAACCCAGAGATGTTAAGTACATGAGATAACCCAAGGTCATTAGAGCCAGAGCCAGGAATTGATTTCAGACAGTCTCATTCCAGATGTTTTAGAACCGGAAAATGTACTGAAGGCTACATATCCTGGGACTTTTCCCCATCCACACATGTGGATAATGAGATGAATGATGCTGAGGGAGCCCTGGGAGTAGGGCATGGTGAGGACAAAGTCTACAGGAGCTGAACAAAAAAAATGGGCTGAACAAAAAAAATGGGCTGAACAAAATTCTCAGGCTAAAAAGGAGGGCAAGAATGCCCTAAATAAGGCCAGGCGTGGTGGCTCATGCCTGTAATCCCAGCACTTTGGGAGGCCAAGGCAGGTGGATCCCCTGAGGTCAGGAGTTTGAGACCAGCCTGGCCAACATGGTGAAACTCTGTCTTAAAAAAAAAAAAAGAATACCCTAAATACAGAGTTCTTCAAATCTGTGGGTAAATAGTATACATTCATTTTTATTAATATATAATAATAAATAGCTACTCATTTGTATTAATTGAATGCATTTATTGCATTAATAATGGCCCTTGTCTGGTTGACAATACAATTCATTTTTAAGGAAGTGCCAACTGATAAAAAACACTTGTGAGAGGGTCAGAGAGAAGGACTCCATTTTCAGCATTATCCAGGAAGCACCCAAATCCAACAACTCCAGTCACGTGTATGGGTACAAAAAAGAGTTAACACAGCAGGGTTGACACTGCTATCCCTGGAAAGGCCTGCTGTCAACCAGAAAGGCTGGCCCTTAGCTGATGGCCCAGAACTTGGAATTTGGGGGTGTTCATACCATTTCCTAACTGACAAGGGTAGTTTACTGTGCCTAACCTCTTTGCACGAACAACATGGTTTCTGTTGAATGTGAGCTTTTCTTTTGTGAGCATGGAAGTTTGATATATGCTGGGCATAGGGTACCTAGATGACTGACCCCCAGTAAAGAGCTCTGAACTTGGGGGCTGGGCGCGGTGGCTCACGCCTATAATCCCAGCACTTTGGGAGGCCGAGGTGGGTGGATCACGAGGTCAAGAGATGGAGACCAAAGATGAAACCCCATCTCTACTAAAAATACAAAAAAATTAGCTGGGCATGCTGGCGCAAGCCTGTAGTCCCAGCTTCTCGGGAGTCTGAGGTAAGAGAATTGCTTGAACTCAGAAGGTGGAGGTTGCGGTGAGCCGAGATCATGTCATTGCACTCCAGCCTGGGTAACAAGAGTGAAACTCCATCTCAGAAAAAAAAAAAAGAAAAAGAAAAAGAAAAAAGAACTCTGAACTTGGGCCAGAGGCAGTGGGTCACACCTGTAATCCCAGTACTTTGGGAGGGTCTTGCTCTGCTGCCCAGGCTGCAGTGCAGTGGCACTATCATGGCTCACTGTAGCCTCGACCTCCTGGGCTCAAGTGATCATGCCATCTCAGCCTCTCCAGTAGCTAGGTCCACAGGAACATGCCACCACACCTGGCTAATTTTTGGATTTTTGGTAGAGATGGAGTTTTACCATGTTGCCAAGGCTGGGAAAAAAATTTTTTAAGGAATTAATGGTCATTAGAAGGCATAGGTCTTTCTAATTATAGCTGCATAATCAATGAATCATGATCAACTAGGTATTACACTAAATTATATCATCTGACATAAATCTACCATTCAATTTGAATTAAGTAAATGAAATAAATACATATTTCCCTACATCACTTTTAGAAGAAAAAGTTCCATTTCTCCTTAATGTAGATCTCTGTACTATGAGTAACGGATATTCTTACTAAATATTATAAAAGAATATATATTTTCCCATTGAACACATTATTCTCTAGAAAGAAGACAGAATAGTTTAAAGTGCAATTAACTTGGGAAGAAGATATTCCAGTTAATTTTAACTTTGGTGGGGGGCAACTGAAAATTAAGCAGAAAATCTTTTACTTTTCTTTAAAAATCTTTCCAAAATATATTAGTTGCCTTCCTTGGCTGCAATGATTGCTGTGAAGTAAACACAAATACGTTTTGGTATTTCAGACCCTTAGGGTGGGTTGGCCCATCTGAATTTCAGCAATGACTTTGCAGTGGAATATGTACCAACCAGGACACATTCTGGAAATCTTGATTAGCTGTCCAAACACTTTGTGTTTCTCTCCTTCCAACACGTGAAGTGAAGGAAAGAAACTCCAGTTGGACAGTAAATTCCAATTTATCCAGTTTTTGTTTGCTAAAGTTTCCAATATTCCTTCAAATAAAAACAGACAACGTACATTGACGCCATGAATTTAAGGCAGCAGAAAATGGTCTTTACAACTTTCTCAACCGCAGTTAGACTAATATGTTGGCCTAGACCAGTTTCTTCAAATCCAAAGCTTACAATCTCTAAGAAAACCTAAATTACTGCTGTTCTTATCATTACCACTTTTAGCTGAAGCCTCCGTTCACCTCTCTGCTCTAGAGGTATTCAACCTGTCTTGGAACAAGTGTGTTGGTGGCAACTTGAAGCTGCTTCTGGACACACTAAAGCTTTCCACGTCTCTTCAAGTGCTGAGGCTGAGCAGCTGTTCCCTGGTGACAGAGGACGTGGCTCTCCTGGGTGTGTATTTACTTGTTCCCAAGTGGTCTTGGCACACAGTACAGAGGGTACCACCCCTGCAAAGCATGGAGTGGGGAGGTTGGGGAGGTTGGGGAGGCATGAGACCTAGGGTGAAGCCCTCTGTGTGGATTCCCTTCTCCCCAATATCTGCTGAGAGGTCTAATTAGAATGAGCAAAGGCAATTCTAAAACCACATGGCAGTGGAGGATGTTCATAAAAGGATATGGATATAGATAGGTGAGGAGGTTCCTGAAAGGCAAACAGCTCCGCTCCACACCTCCCCGGTCCATGAGTGTTCTCACTTGAGTCGTCTACCTTTCGCCCCATCAGCATGGTTCCTGTACTACTACTTAACTTTTCCTTTAAATTGACTCTAATTTAAATGCTTTTATTTAAACAGGAAACTGATTATCGCTGTCACTGAAATACAGACATCATTTCCTATAGATATTAGACTGCTGATGGCTTTGATTAGAGGCTACCTCTCTCTATTAGAAAAAATGAGAGAGGTTAAAGGCATACTGTAGTACCAATCTGACACTTTTTCCATGTCAGTCTAGAGAGATGGAAAGACAATTGAATAACTTTTGCACTGTGGGATTCCGGTGAAAATATTCCAAATATTCCCTAAAATCATTCTCTGCGTCCACTTCCCATTATGAAACAATGAATCAGAAAGTACTACCTTTGTCTCCCAGCTAGCCGTGTCTTCTCACCTCAATCACTATTCAGGCATCAGCTGCCAGAATTCCAGAGCAGTGAGCACGTCTCCAAATGAAGGGCCAGAACAGTCACTCCAGGTAGTTGTATCTGTGTTCTCAGTGTATATACCAGTCAGTTTTGCTATGACACGACACATGGGCCTAAAAATTATGTATTATGCAAGAATTATACTGTAATAACCACAGGACTTACGGTTGGAGGCACCACACTGGAACACTTCATCAGTGGCATATTTTAAGAAACAGAAGCTATGAAAAATCATAATATAGTTTTACATGTTAAATAGTTAAGGAATACGCCAATATTACACTTTCCCCTGAGAAAGACCTGAAGTTTGTCTGTAGAAGTGGCCTGTCTAGGAATTCAAGACCGCAGTGAGTTATAATTGCCCCACTGCACTCCAGACTGGGTGACAGAGCAAGACCCTGTCTCAAGAAAAACCAACCAAACAAAAGAACATACATAAAACTGAAATGTGGCATTTCTGGATTGGATCCTGGAAAAGAAAAAGAATAGGTGCAGAAAAATGGGTGAAATCTGAATAAAATTTATATAGTTTAGTTTCACTGTATAACCTTGGAATATTATTTGATGGGCATGTAGTATCTATTTGAAAACATAAAATTTAGCTTTTTTTTTTTTTTTTTTTTTTTTTTTTTTTTTTTTTTTTTAAAAAAAAGAAGTGGCCTGTCCACACTTCCATTGGTGGAAAGAGGATATGTGGATGGGTGAGGGTTGTTGTACTCATGAGGTATGTGCATGTCTGCATTTTGTTTATTTTATTTATTTATTTAGAAGGAGTCTGTCTGTGTCACCCAGGCTGGAGTACAGTGGCTCCATTTCAGTTCACTACAACCTCTGCCTTCTGGGTTCAAGCAATTCTCCTGCTTCAGCCTCTCGGGTAGCTGGGATTACAAGTGCACACCACCATGCCCGGCTAATTTTTGTATTTTTAGTAGAGGTGAGGACTCTTTCCCACAAAGAAAATTCCAAATTTAGATGGCTTCAGTGGTGAATTCTATGAAACAATTGAGGAAGAAATAATACCAATTTTACACAATCTTTCTGGAAAATAAAAGAAGAAATGGGATATGCTTCCCTTTTCAGCCAAACCCAGGAATCGATGCAGAGATCAGGTGAGGTGTATAGAATCTCAGAGTTGCAAGGGATCTTGGAAGTCTCCTTGATCCAACCTCCTAATCAATAATCAGAGAGAAATCCTTCTCACAGGCTCTCTACTAATGACCACCACGATTCTGCCTGAAGTGTTTCAAGTTTGCCCCAGCGTTATAGAGAGACTCTTAGCAGGAGGAAGCCCTCCCACTAGGCCCCAGTCTGTCTTCTGGTGTCTTTCAGCCAGTGCGTCCGTCTGCGAGCTGAAACATTCAGCTCTTTCTTACTCACGTCAGCCCTACAGTGTTGGGCAACAGCCAGGTCTCCCTCAAATTTCCTCCCTCTAGGACTGAACATGTCCTGGTCTTTCAGTCCTTCCTCACACGGCATGGCTTTCAGATCAAGGAGAATGCTCCAACTCCAACACTTTCACTTGCCGACAGTTTGATTCCACAGTGAGTTTGAGAGCTCAGCCACCCGTGCATCCATTCCTGGGTTTGCCTCAAAAGGGAAGCATGTCCCATTTGCCTTGGTTAGCTCTCCTGCCTTCTCTTACAGAAGTCTTTACTTCAGCATTAACTTCTTTATTTTCTGATCAAATAGCTCAGATTGTACATTAGTTATCATTTTTAAGTGCCATTATAGGTAGTACTGATATGTTCTATTCAAAGGGAAAACTGCCTTGTGTATTGGGGTTCTCTAAGGTGAACTGAAATTATCCAGGTATGTTCTGCACATGGAAAGTTGCTCAGTGAAATAACTGTTGAATGAAGAATGACTGAATGAATGAACAATGGACAATTAAACAATATAAGCAGCAAGAAGATTATTTACAAATGGTCCTTAGTTAAAGCCAATGAGCCACCACTCTTCACATTTAATTAGAGAAAGTCTGTAGGAAGAGCTGGGGCTCCAGTGGAGCAGAGAGCAAGAATTTGACCAAAAAAAAAAAAAAAAAAATTATTGGGTTGGGATTTGGAAAAAGAAATAAAAAAGCTTGTACATGGGATGTACAGACAGGAAATCTGTTACTAATTTCAGATGTCCTGAATGAAGCTGCTAATAACAAATTATTACTAATTACTAATCGTGTCATTCCTAGTCCAGAGATAGTTTTATGGGAAATGGGAATAGCCATGGCCGACAGTATTCTTGCATGTTAGCATTTAGAATGATTTTCTTTTCCAGCATCGGTTATACAGACGGGTCATCTGGCCAAACTGCAAAAGCTGGACCTGAGCTATAATGACAGCGTCTGTGATGCAGGGTGGACCATGTTCTGCCAAAAGGTGCAGTTCCTCAAAGGGCTAATCGAGCTGGATATTAGCCTTAGACCATCCAATTTTCGAGATTGTGGACAATGGTTTAGACACTTGTTATGCGCTGTGACCAAACTTCCTCAGATCACTGAGATAGGAATGAAACGATGGATTCTCCAAGCTTCACAGGAGGAGGAACTAGAATGGTTTGACCAAGACAAAAAAAGAAGCATTCACTTTGACCATGGTGGGTTTCAGTAAGCTGATTTCCCATTGTCCTACTAAGCTACAAATCATTCTCCAAAGGAAAAGAACATGAACAAATTCCAGTGTCATCAACTGAACATCAACTTCTGAGCCATTTAATGGAACTTCTATTAAAGAGCTTTGTAGATCTAGGTATGTAATATCTAATGTGAACATGCCGTTATTCTCTGTCTTATGATACAAAAATGGCCTTTTTCAGTAGCTTTGTTTTGGATATATAATTAGTTCCTTTACTGTTTAGAAGCCTTGCAAAAAGTGTTTAGATTCTGGTACTGCAAGTGTTTTTCTCTTGCCCAGAAATGTTTGCCTTCTCTTTTCCTACAAGTTAAGTGTTCTAAATATAAGTGTGTGTGTGTGTGTGTGTGTGTGTGTAATTCTAAAGTGAAATAGAATTACACTAGCTAATAGTTTCATGTATCATTACTATTATTATATCATAATGTGGTCTATGTAGGTTTTTATCTGAAAGCGTCCCCTTCTATGGTTTATTATTTTATGTTCTGGTGCATTTTATTTCAGATATAAACCATGGACAGTAATGATAGTCACTGACATACAAATCTTAGTAAAAAGTAGTTAAAAATTTAAAACTCAGTATGAAAAATATGTCTTGTTAGAATAAATTAAAACCTTTAATGTTTAAAAAGATAAATTGTTTACATACTGCCTTTAGGCATTTCTTTGAAATGGAATTTGCCTCATCAAACTTCTTTAATTTATTAGTGACACTTTTTGTGTTGCTCTAAACTATTTTTGAAATTTTTGATTTTCTTTTGCTAGAGCATGAATGTCATTGCATGGCAGAGATGTTTGTCTACACATTTCTATTCTGACATGCTTTACTCAAATTATGTTTTGCTTTCTTCTTACTACACTAAAAATTAGTATTGTAATCACTGCCTGAAAAACATGCAAATTTAAAATCAACACTAATCCAAATTAAAAAGTGTTCAGGATGAGGAAGTTTTGAATGCTATAAAAGGAAATATTTTGGGCTGCATGATATAAAAGAATACCATGAATTCCCTGGGCATTCCCATGATTTCCATGAGTACCTATGCAGATGCAAAACCTACACATGAATGTTCCCTGGCAGCTTTGTTAATAATAGCAAAAAAACTGGAAACAATGAGTAAAAGGTTAAACAAACTGTGGGACTATGCAGTACTCCTCAGCAACAGAAAGGAACAAACCACTGACACATGCCACTATTTGGATAGACTTCAAGTGGATTATGCTGAATAAAAAAGCCAATCTGAGTTACATACCTTGCATTTCCATTTATGTGACATTCCCAAAATGACAAAATGATGGAGATGGAGAACAGGTTAGGAACTGGGAGAGGAGTAGGCAGTAGGTATGGCTACAGAGGAATAGCACAAGGGAAGCTTGTGGCAATGGAGCAATTCTGTGTCTTGATTGTAATCGTGGTTACACAAAGCTCTATGTGACAAAATTGCATAGGATTATACAGACACACACACATACACAAATGAGTGCACTGTTGATTGTACCAATGTCAATTTTCTGGTTTTGTTTTTGTGCTACAGTCATGCAAGAGGTCGGCATTCAGGGAGGCTGAGCAAGGCATGGACCTACCTAAGCGTTTCTTTAGAACTTCCTGTGAATCTATAATTATTTCACAATAAAAGTTTCAAAAGTAGGCAGGATGGGTGTGGTGGCTTTATGCCTGTAATCCCAGCACTTTGGGAAACCAAGGCGGGCAGGTCAGTTGAGGTCAGGAGTCCAAGACCAGCCTGGGCAACATGGTGAAACTCCATCTCTAACAAAAAAATATAAAAATTAGCCAGGCATGGTGGTGTGTGACTGTAGTCCTAGCTACTTGGGAGGCTGAGGCACAAGAATTGCTGGAACCTGGGAAGCGGAAGTTGCAGTGACCCAAGACTGCACCACTGCACTCCAGCCTGGGCAAGAGTGAGATCCTGTCTTAAAAGAAATAAAAAATAAACACAGGAAAATAGTATAATGAACCCTCGTGTACTCATCACCTTATTCTATAGTTGTCAGTGTATGGCCAATCTTGTTTCACTTGTATTCCTACCCACTTTCCCCTCCCCATCCCATATTATTTAGAAGCAATTCCAAGGTGTCATATCATTTTATCCTTAAACATTTCAGTCAAAGTAAAAATCATTTATTTGGCTGGGCGTGGTGGCTCACGCCTGTAATCCAAGAACTTTGGAGGCCAAGGTGGGAGAATCACCTGAGGTCGTGAGTTCAAGACCAGCCTGACCAACATGGTGAAACCCCATCAGTATAAAAAAAATTTTTTTAAATCATTTATTTTTACACATAAACATAATTTTATGAATAATTTTAATGTAGTAGGCATCTAATTGCTAGATATTTTGCCTTAATCCATCAAGGTTCATTACCCCAATTTATCAATTTTTAGGATTATTTCTTATTTTTCTTTCCTGGTATTTCTTTTACATCCTTCTTTCCTTTCTTATCTTTTGGAGATGTCTTTCCTTTCTTTCGTGCTTTTATTAGTTCACTGAATTTCCCAAATCCTTTCCGTACCATTATTCCACGCCACCATGCCTGCATCTGAAAACAAGATAAACTCAAATTCAGCATCGGCTGTTATCATGATGAATAGGAGATCGTTAAATCTCTTTTTTCTAATAGGTAGTCTTGAAGATGTAGACAATGGGATGTGATTAGAACTCTAAATTTTATTTTCTGTTTTTCTCAACTGGCCAGGCATTCAGGCAAATTTTTAAAAAATGCCTTTATTGCTTTTATGTGCCAGGTCCTGAAAAGTTCTAGACTTTTGGGCAACAACTGTGAAATAACTGCCTCAACTTTATGGAGCTCACATTTCAGTGAGAGAAGAGACAGTAAGAAATAAATACATGAATGTTTAATTTGACAGACGGTGATGAGTGCTACAGAGAGCCACTGTGCATAGTGAGGGGATCTGAGTGCTCTTCCCTGCCTTCCGGCTCCTTACTGGGCTGTCTGTGCTCCTGCTTAAAGCCAGCCCTCACATGTTCCCTGGATCCCATCCCCTCCTACCTGCCCAGCAACACCCCTCCTCTAGTAGTAGACTCATCCAGTGGCTCCCCATTTCTCTCAGAATAAAAGCCAAAGTCCTTATATGGCTTACAAGGCCCTCTCTGATCTGCCTCCCCAAACCTGACTCCCATAACCTCTTAAATCCTCTTTCCCTGGCTCACTGTGCTCCAGCCATGCAGGCCTCCTCCCTGCTCAGACACAAGGGCACAGTTCTCACTCAAAACCTGTACATTCGCTGCTTCCTTTGCCTGGAACTCTTCTCAGTATTCAGATGGCTCCACTGCTTCAAGGGTTTGCTCAATTATTGCCGTGGACTAAACTGTGTTGCCCCAGATTAATATGTTCAAGCCCTAATCCCCTAATCTCCAGAATTTGGAGAAGGGGCTATGGGGAGATAATTAGATTTAGATGAGGTCATGACGGTGGGGCCCTCATGATGAGATCAGTGGCCTTATAAGGAGAGACATCAGAGAGAGCTATCACTCTCTAGTGAAATATCTCTCTCCCACTCCCTCTCTGCTGATGAGGACACAGGGAGAAGGGAGCTTCTACAAGCCAGGAAGAGAGCCTTCACCAGAATCCAATCATGCTGATACTCTGACCTCAGACTTCCAGCCTCCAGAACTGTGCGAAAATACATTTCTGTTGTTTAAGACACCTGTTCTACGGTATTTTGTTGTGGTAGCCTAAGCTAAGATTGCCATCTTTTCAATGAGTCCTACTCTGACAATCTTATTTAAATCAATTACTTCCCCACCTCCACACACTATAGGCAATTTCAGTTCCCCTTAGGCCAATTTTTTTTTTTAATTTAACAGTAGCACTCTTTAACATAGTATTTAATTTTACATTTTATATTTCATGCTTTTCTTTTCCTCCTACTAGATTTTAAGTGCTGTGAGGACAAATATTTGTTTTGTTCACTGATGTATCTCTATGCTTAGAACAGTGTCTGGTACATAGTAGAAGCTCAATAAATGTTTGTTGAATGAATGAACAAATGAAAGAGGTGGATGGGGGTATGCTGTTTCATATAAGGTGGATCAAGGAGGGGGCTCTCTGATAAGAGGCCATTCAAGCAGAGATGGAATGAAGTGAGGGCCAGAATCTTGCCCATATCTGGGGGAAGCATCTCTGGGCACAGGGATGTTAAGGCGCTGAGCCAGAGCACGCTTGGTCCTTGGAAGAACACCAGGGATCTGCTTGTGACTGAAGCCCAGTGAGAGTGGGAAAGATGAGTTGGGGTGTGAAAACAGCAGACCAACCAGGATCCAGGGGACAGCACTGCTCTCCAGAAGCATTTTGGAAATTTATGGAGCTTTTTGTGGTCTTAAGTTTAAGCAGTCTTCAATGTGTGGCCTGTACCCTGGTCTACGAAGCCTTTCCAATGGTGTGCAGGCATGGATAAGTTGAAGACAGCCCATTTCCTGAGCTGTATCCCTTCCTAAAATCATCCCGAGAACATAACTGTGGATCCCCCATCCCACTTGCCCCTCTGGTGCTCCACAGGGGGAGGGTATGCCTTGCACCCACCTGAACACCTGAGTCTTACTATGGTGCATTGCCCGGTTAACCAAGTGGTTAACTGGTTAACCAATCCTTTTGCAAGACAGGTGGTTTCTAATTCTACCTTCAAGAAAACTAAGGTAAGACTAGTTGACATGTCAGCTAAGACTTGCTATTGATTTGGGGGATATAAATCTGGAATAAGTTCAGAGATGCGTGAAAGCATTGTTATTTAAAAGAAAACATTACAGGCAAGAAAATCTCTTCTATTCTTATTAACCCATCTACATGAACAAGGTTTTCTTAAGGCTTTCATCTGTAAAATGAAAAACAGGAGTAGAATCTATAATAAACCCTGACTTATTCTAATAATCAGCAACATTTATACATGAATATATAAACTACATTTAAAAAACTCCTCATACTGTTCTAAAAATCCTGATAATTATTAAAATTTGTAAGAAATTTTATGTTGTTTTAGGTGATGTCAAACTACTAATAATTGTAATGTATATACATTTTAAAATGTTTAAAATTTAATTTATAGAAATATTTTTGTTGCCTAGAAGTACAAAAGAACAATCTATAAAAGATTTATATGTATATCTATATAACTTTAGGATCAATTCTGAGGGGAAAGTAGAATGGACATGGATGTTCAAGAAGAAATATGATATAAAAATTCTGCCGATAAAATTGCTTATTTGAGAATTTGTAAATCGGTGTTAACAAATCCTAATGATATGCAGCTCCACTGGATACATTTAAAATATTGATCTAACAGCTCTATTTTAAAATGTCAACATTTAAAATTCACTGGAAATTACATCCTTTGCAATGATTCAAACTTGTGCCAATCATGTTAAATATCATTTTAAGAATGTGCAAAAGAGTGCGGGATTTTTCAAAATGCTTTTAGGGGGCCTGGCGCGGTGGCTCACGCCTGTAATCCCAACACGTCGGGAGGCCGAGGCAGGTGGATCACGGTGAGCCAATATGGTGAAACCAAACCCCGTCTCTACTAAAAATACAAAAAGTAGCTGGGCATGGTGGTGAGCACTTGTAGTCCCACTACTTGGGAGGCTGGGAGATCGTGCCATTGCACTCCA